ATGCCCAGCCTGGGCCTCAGCTCTCCTCTCTGTAAAGTCAGTCACGGAGGAGGGCATGGCTTGCACTAAATGCCTGCCAAACAAACTAAATGTTTGCCTACACCAAACACTCGCAGTATTGTGTGCTCAACCTTTCTAACCACATCTGGTGGGCCCAATCTGCAAAAGATTTGTCCTCTCTTCAGAAGATCCCTGCTGTTTGTTTCCCTGCACCCTAACCGCAGCCAGGCCTCCTAAGGCTCTGCGCAAAGATCTACCACAATCTCTCGACAGTCCTAGCCACAGAGTAGCCACCTACAGCCTCTTCGGTCCTCCTTTTTAGGGCGCATTTGAAGAACTCGAGTTGCGATGCACTTCTTAGAGACCGACTAAAGGGAAAACGCTGGCTGATTCTTTCAGACAATGCATTAGGGACCAGGTGGCCTCTACTAGCCTGCCAGCCTCTTGAGGGCTCAGGACCCTTTTAATCATCTCCCACGGCTCAGTAGAAAGTTGGGGGACAGAGTTATGGGGAGGCTGTGGCTCTATCAGGAAATGGATTATTTACCCTCTAGGGTTTTCTCAAAGGTGTGATAAAACTTCCCTCTCCACCCCCTTCGGTCCTCTGGAGGTAAACAGCGACTTCTTCCTTCTTCCCATCAGTTCTCCCCCACCCACGGGATCAGTATCCTTGTCACAGAAGCACCCATTTGTCTCGCCACCCTTAGGCAGCGATGCCACGACTGGAAAGAGGATCCTCACTGAGGATGATCAGGAACTCCGTGGGCGTGCCCGCTCCTGTGCCTGAGGGGATGCGCAGCAGCCTGCAGGCAGCCTCTCTGAGCACACCTCCTGCTACCCACGCAGACACATCGGATGTTGCGTCGCCGCCCCGCCTCCTCTCGCTCAGTATCTGCCCAAACCCAGGCGGGCAGAACTCGATGGGGAGCGTGGGCGTGCTGCGGGGCGACCATGGCTGTAGACTGTTACCTCCGGTTCCCACAGTAACAATCGAAAGCCACGGTTGCCCTGGAGACGCGTGGGCGGGGCCTGGAGGCTGACGTCAGCACCGCGGGCGGCGGGGGCGCGCGAGCCTGCGCGGGGGCCGGCGCCCGCCGCAGCCCGCCGGGACCTGGCACGGGCGGGCCCGGGGGAAGCGCGCGCGCTGCCTCAGCACCGTGGACAGCGGCGCAGGGAGGCGGGGAGGGGCCGGGGTCGGCGGTCCTGGGGCGGGGCCAGGCGTCGGTGGCCGTGACTGGAGACTGTTACTGAGGGCGGCCCGGGCAGTAAGCAGTCTAGAGCCAAGGTGCCGGCGCGCTGCCCGGGCGGGGGCGTCCCGTCGCCCGCGGTCGGGGGCGCCGCCGCTGCTGCTGCTGCTGCTGCTGCTGCTTTTCAAGTCCCCCTCCGCCCCAGCGCGCGCGGACGGGCACGCGACCGCTGACGTCAGAGCCCTGTGACGTCAAAGGCGTCCCAGCGGGAGGCACTTCCGGCGGGCGGGGGCGGGGCGGCCGGGGCGAAGCCCCGCCCCCGCCTGGTCCTGAGAGGACAGCTCCGCTCGCAGAGGCGGGAAGTCCTGGGCGCCGGGGCCGGGGCCGGGCGCGAGGGCGGCGTGCGGGCGGGGGTCCCGCGGAGCCGCGGGCCGGGGCGGGCGTCGGTGTGCGGCGGGCGCCCCGGCTGGGTCGTCGGGGCCATCCGGGCTGGGTCACCGCTGCGGACGGGGTAGAAAGCGAGGGGCGCGTCTCCCGGGACGCCGGCGCCGCCTCCCCACTTTCTGGGAAGGAGGGCGCAGGGGCCGCGGGGCTCGGGGAGCGGGGCCGGGGCTCGGGTCCCGCCGGGGCTTCCCGGAGCGTCCGCGCCGCCGCCGGGTGCCGGCAGGTGCTGGGGGTCGGTCGCCCGCGGCCCCGCCGGCCCTCCCCGCCCTCCGCCCCGCCGCCCCTCGCCGCCCTCCCGCCGTCCCGGGGCCCGGGGCCTCCCCCCCGTCGGCGGGGCCTTACCTGAGGGCCGCGTCGCGCCACCGCCGCTCGCCGCCGCAGCCCGGCCGGCGCCGCCGCTTTTATAGGCGCGCGTAGTACTCGTGCGGCGGCTCATTCATGCGGCCGCGGCTCCTACACACTGACGCGCTGCCGACGTCAGCAGGGAATTTAGGAAACGGGGAAGAGGCTATTTATAGTGGCGAGCGGGGAGGGGGCGTGGGGGACGGGACGGAGCGCCGGGGACCCGGGAGCGGGAGGGGCGCGCGGAAGCAGGGCTGGGGAGGGGGCGCGCGGCCCCAGGCCTGGCCGCCGAGGGGTTAACTTTCCGGAACTGCAGGCGGCGGGCTGGGGGAGGACAGTGCAGGGAGGGTGCGGCCCGGCTACGCGTTTATCGCTCTCCCCTTCCGGGGCTCTGCGAGTCCTGGGAGCCCAAGCCCCAACTCCCGGACCTTGGGGGTCCTTCCTCGGTAGCCCCAAACCACAGTGCTCAATTTCTAGAGCCGACAGCTCGGTGACGCCAGAGGATGCCAGCGTATCACGCTGCATAAGGCCACTGTGGTGTCCTCGCTCTCCGGGGTGGGGGGTCAAGGAAAGGAAACTGGGCCCCTTTAGGAGGGGGATAGGGTGACCTCGGGCTCTGGGGTCTAGGGGCTGGGGGAAGAGGGGCAGAGGAGCTTGGGAATCCTGGAAGGCTTCCTGACTGGGCCACAGGCGGGAAGGCACCAGTCGGATGGTGGAGCCGTAGGGAAGGGGAGGGAGCGAGCGTGGGCCGGACTTCAGATCCTCCTGTAGAGGATGCTCTACAGGAGTTTGGGAAAGGTGCCTGGAGCATCCGCCAAGGAAGAAGGGCTAGCTTGACAGGCGGCGGGAGGGCCCTGGCCGGCTGTCTCTCCGAGGGGCCTCCTCAGCCCTCGGTGGTGGAAAAGCATAGGCAGAGGCTGTAAGACAGGGAAGGAGACTAGGGGCTCGGCAGCGTGCGTGGAAGGGACGGACCCCTTTCTAGAGGACACAGAACTGACCAAAAGGGCTCCTGCTGTGAGGAGCAGGTTCCCCAGAACAGCCCGGTTCTATCTCCGGGCTCTAAATGGGGGCGCCATGTGTTCAGCGAGAGAAGAATCAGGCTGACGGGGGTGGGGTGGGGGGGTGGCGGGGCCGTGAGGAAGCGGGGAAAAGTAGTTAAAAGGGGAGGTATGGTAGTGCACATCTGCCTTTAATACCAGCACATGGGTGGCAGACAGAGCTCTGTGAGTTCGAGGCCAGCTTGGTCTACACAGCAAGGCTGGCCATAGCTACATAGTGAGACCTAAGACGTGGAGGAGGAGAGGAGAGTGAATGGAGAAGCTTGAGCAGGACTGTGTGGTCCTCCCCATTGCGAGGCAATGAGAGTAGGTGACGTACAGTGGAGCGAGGACGAGAATGGACAGTAGGCGCAGAGGGCCTTGTATGGGGCAGCCGGCGGGTAGACTCCAGCGTGGAAAAGACCCAGAAGCTGGGGGCCTCCTTCCAGACTGCGGTCGTCTAGCCCCACGGAAAGGAGAACAGCCTAAAACAGGGCCACCCTTGCTCGCCATTTGCTCTCTGCTCTGGTGCGAGAACGCCTATTCCCGCCAGCACTTCCGAGGAGCCTTCTCATCCCCAGCATCACGCTTCTGCCTCCGCCCCACAGCGCAGCCCTCCCTCGGCGGAGAAACCGTGCCCACTGCTCCCAGAACCCAGAAACTGCGGAGCCCGCGGTGGGAACGCAGTGCTGGTCCCGTGTGGACACTGTGGGGAGGGGCAGCGGTGGGCTCGGCGGAGGCGGAGCACACCGGACACCCGGGAAGGCAGGACTTGTGTGCACCAGAAGCGAGGCCGGCCACAGCAGCCTCCTGCCAACGAGCCGCAGCCTTTAGGGGGCGCCCAAGACCTTGCTGTCTCACCGGTCCGGCCAGAGGGCCGCGCCGGCGGCCCCGAGCGAGTGACTCAGCCACCACCTCAAGCGGGGGCGTGGGGGCTCGAGGACAGCGTGGGGTGCGGCGAGCGCGGCCCCCACCCGCCCAGCGGTCCCGCGCGGTTGCTAAGCTCTCCAAGGCCTCCGAGGGATGAGATCCCGGGAACCTCATTGGTTACCATGGTAACCCTGCGCCCCGGCCTCTCCTGCGTGGCCACGGAGGAAGCCGCAGCCAATGAGAGGCTGTGGGCGGTTTGGGGGACCCCCCCCGTGGTGTGGGCGGGGGTCAGGAGGTGCGGGAGGAGGCGGAGCGTGGGCCACCGAGGCGCGACGCTCGCCAGGCTGCTGCTGCCTCCGCCCCGCCCCGCCCCGCCCCGGGGACGTTTCCGGAGAGCACCCACGAGCCGGTGCCAGGCCGCCTCCCGCCTCGAGGCGGCGTCGCCGCGCCCCCTCGCACGGAGTGGGGTCTCTGGGGAGTGGGTGGGTCCAGGCCGCCGGTTCTTGGGGTGCTTCTCGAACGGGGGGTTGGAGAAAGAAATCACTTAGATCCCTCCGAGCCGCTGAGACAGGAACGCGGCTGCTGGCGGCCCGTCCCCAGGGGCTCTGTCCCGCTGGTCCAGGGAGACCCGCAAGCTCCGAGAGGAGCCGCTGCCCCTGTCTGCTCGGTTCTCAGTGGCCGCCGCGGCAGAAGCCGGGCCGGACCGGGCCGGGCCGCCTGTGTAAACGCGCCTTCGGGGGCGCTGCTCGGCGGCGTTGGAGCGCGGGCGGCTTGCGATTTGCGCACTGATAACATGTGCCCGAGCGAGCGCTGGAATTGTTTTGGAGCCCGAGTCCAGGTGGATAACGGTGTCCAGAAATACCTAATAAAAGTCACCTCCGCTCCGAACTGACCTACCTTCGTCTCATTTCGGATTTCCAAATCATCTTCTCACAACGTCCTGTCAGTAGCCTCCCACACCCCCACTTTAAAGATAGGGTCTCCGTGAGCTCGAGGCCAGCCTGGGCTACAGAGTGAGTTCCAGGCAGCTAAAATTACACAGAAAAACCCTGTCTGGAAAAGAAAAAAAGAAAAGAAAAAGAAAAAGAAAAACAAACCCAGCAAATATAGGGTCTTTCTTATGCAGGAGAGGCTGGCCTCGAACTCCTGGAGTGGGCTACTGCCCGTCACGGCTCTAGAACTCGCCCTTCGCAGGCAGAACTTTCCCCGAATTGGCGCCGAATTCCATCGAGACGTGCTGGGGGGCGCCCAGCCGCAGACCCTGGGGTCGGTGGGTCTCCGGGTCCCGCTCTGCGCGGGTCCCCAGGTGGGCGCCCCCGGAGGCGGGGGCGGCGGCCCCCGGCGCGGCTCGGCGGCGGCGAGGACCAGGTGTGCGGCGGCCGGGCCCGCGGCGCC